GACGCTGGTGTGGAAAGGGTAATGAGGGACCTGCGAATCTTCCGAATCTTTGAGGGCACCAATGACATCCTGCGACTGTTCATCGCGCTCAATGGCTTTCAGGTAAAACGGGGAAAGAAAACACTACTAAGAACATAACTGCCTGTCTTACGGCTTCCTGTGCTGCAAAACCACCTGAAAGCTCACGGCACGTGTGGTTGTTGACACCTGCCACTGCTACAAATTGGTCTTGGTGTTTTCCAGTGAACATATTTTATGCAAACGCAGCATATGAATTGCATTTGCGAATGTGTGTCCTGTTTGGTAGAATGCAGGCAATCAGCTGAAGAGCTTGCAGAAAGCGCTGAAGAACCCTTTCGGTAATGCTGGGATGTTGGCGGGTGAAATCACAAAGAGAGCCAAGAGGTTAGACCTTCATATCGCTTAAAAACACTCCTGCAAGACAGTTGTGTTGTTTCTCAGCGACTTGATAAAACCCTGGTCTATATGTGTGTGTCTGGCAGGAAGGCGGGCATGGGGACGGGACTGACGCTGCAGGGAATGGTTCATCCAGAGCTCAACCACTGTGGAGAATTGGTGAGATTAAATCAAAGTCACAGCGCTTGGGTAATACTGAAATGATGTTTACTCGGAAATTATACTAAGAAACGCTCATTAAACCAGACAGAATCCCAAATCTTAAATGAAACGAGCCTAAAACCTGTTTTTGTCCTCTTAAAGACTGTTAAAGCCATCGAGCAGTTTGGAGCTGTCATTGAAGAGCTTCTTCTGAAACATGGAAAGAGAATCATCGGTGAGCGCTGTGTGTTTTGTATTGTGCTGCAAGATTATTTCAGCATGCAATAGAAAAATATGTGCATGCTAAATCTTCCTGTTTTACTTTTTTTACACATTACGTTAAGACTTTACAATAAGGTTCATTAGTTAAATTAGTAGTTCACTTTAAAAAAAAAACTTTTGCTGATAATTTACTCACCCCCATGTCATCCAAGATGTCCACGTCTTTCTTTCTTCAGTCGAAAAGAAATGAAGGTTTTTGATTAAACCATTCCAGGATTTTTCTCCATATAATGGACTTCAATGGGAACCAAACGGTTCAAGGTCCAAATGAGAGTTTCAGTGCAAACTGTTCAAAGGGCTTTAAACGATTCCAGACGATGAATAAGGGTCTTATCAAGCGAAACGATCGCTCATTTAAAAAAAAAACAAAAAAACAAAGTTTAAGTTTTATAAGCTCAAATGATCGCCTTGCTCTGTTCTGTGATGCGCATTGTTCGAACCCGTTTATTATGAGAGGTTGCAGTGGCGATAGTGTGTAGTTTGTTTTTAACTAAAAAAAAAAAGTCCATCGGACCTTCTGGTGCGCCATCCCGCCGGGCGCCGCTGTTTTGATCTTGTTTCCCGCCGGTGCTTCCTCTGAGCCTCGTCGCCTCGCTTTCTGATTGGCTACACGACGGGGGACAACACACGATGAGAAATCAGGCCAAAATAATCCAACACGTTGGATATCCCGGATTTGATATCGGAGCGGTCCCGGCATCCTTCCGAGCAGACGAGAGCAGTCTTAACACACCACACACGGCAGGAATATCTGATCAGATTATTTTACGATAATCGGAGCATCCTTAAGATTAGAGCCAGACCGATATATCGGCCGATATTAGGCATTTTCCAAACTATCGGTATCGGCAGTTATAATGGCCGATAAATGAATATTAAAAAAAAAAAAAAAAAAAACGGACAACGCGCTTGAACCATGTCATGAGTGTTGTGTAGTTTGTCCACCAGAGGGCACTCTACACCGTTCCTTTTGGCAACACTCGTTGAGTTGGTCACGATACATACATTGCTTGAATAACAATTAAAAGAACATCCTCATCAGTTCTCTAAACTCAAATAAGCATGACAAAATTTGTGACTATCATGTCCAGTTTTAAATAAATAAATAAAATATCGGCCGATATATCGGATTTTAAAACCCAAAAATATTTGTTTATAAACCTTTATCGGTCGGGCTCTGCTTAAGATTGTCGGTAGGGGTGAATCAGGGCTAAAATCGGCCTAATAATCCTGCCGTGTGAACCAGGCTTAACATTAACAAAGATTAGTAAATACTGTATTGCTCATTGTTAGTACATGTTAGTTGATGCGTTAACTAATGAACCTTATTGTAAAGTGTTACAACATTACATTGCATCTATAAAGCTGTCGGGCTTCCTCGTGAGCTTGTGCTTTTCTCACAGTGATTGAGTGATTCTGTGTGTGTCTCTTCAGATGAACAATTTGTTCTGAAACGAGTTGCAGACTGTGCCATTGATCTGTACGCCATGGTTGTAGTCTTGTCCAGGTGAGCAATGTTAATTTTCTCTCTTCTTCTCCATGACGTAGGCACTTATGGTGTGTTTACGTGAATTTAATTATTTGCGCGAGTAGATTACATATAAAGTCAATGCAAAGACGCGAATAGACGCATCATTCACGCCGGGCGTTTTGCGAATGACGCAAATTGCGCAACGCGTTTGCCGCGAACGTCTTTCAACGCATGTTGGTTCAAGCATCTAACTAGACGCGTATTTGACACGTATGCGTCTTCTCGTTTTCCTCTCTCAGAGCCTCCAGGTCTCTCGGCCAAGGTCACCCTTCTGCCCAGCACGAGAAGATGCTGTGTGAAACCTGGTGTACTGAGGTCAGTGTTCGTCCATTCTTTTAAGTTGTGTTCTCCTAGTCCCGTCTTTAAGCATTAATCCGTGATTTCTTCTCTTTAGGCCCATGAGCGAGTCGTACAGGACATCAAGTTCCTCCGCTCGGGGACGTCCAAGCAGACCTTCAAAAACCTGCGTGCCATTTCTGCTGCCGTGGTGGAAAACGGAGGGGTGGTCTCTCCTCATCCACTGGGCTTTTAAAGCTCTGGCTCCCATCAGCCAATCATGTGCTCTCTAAGCAGTCACATGCCCATATTCCTTAACATAGACTGCAAAATGAGTGGAGTCTGTCACATCGTGTTCTTCAGCCACAGGAGTGCTTTAATATTCCATATTAAAGTATGGAAATGAATTGGATGTGTAGAATATACAAATCTAATGTACATCTAAGGGATTGTATCTGTGTTATAAGTTAATAAGATGAGTTTTTATATGTATATGCCGAAATAATAATAAAAATAATAATAAAAAGACATTGGCTATGTTTCCATCCAACATTTGCGATTTAAAGCAGGGTTTCCATCCCATGTGTTCAAGAGAACAAAATAGTCAATACTTGGTGCAAAACATCAGTTATAAAAATAGAAGTTGCTGCAATCTGGAAAGAAACTGGCTATTTGTCCTCCATCTGCGCGTGAATGAAACGCTATAAACGCTGTCATGTTCTCTTGCGTTCGGATGCTGGTGTTCGTGAACAGTCATGACGCTTCTGGGAGGGAATTAAACCGAATCATCATGACAGACTTGGTCCACTGGTTAGTCAGGTTATCCAATCAAAGTCATGTGACTTTTTGGTAGCACATCAAGGGATTTGTTCTGTAAATGTTTCCATTGTGTTTGTGCATGTCTTCTAATTGGATGAAGAATGTACCTGTATGCACAGTTTGATGTTTCCATCCAGTGTTTTTTAATGTGATATACCAAAACGCACATAACAATAGGTGGATGGAAACATGGCTATTGCTCAATGGGGAACAGATACACTCTGAACGAAGCACTTTTGAGTCTTTTTAACCAAACTCTGTCCAATATCCGGTCCAACTGCCCGCATTTTGCAAGATTTTTATTTAGTGGTTTTACATACTGCATCTTATGCAAGCTTGTTTCCGCCACAGAATGGAAAATAAAAAAGGTAATTGCGACGTTTTATCTCACAATTTGGACTTTATTTCTCAGAATTGCGAGATGTAAAGTCAGAATTGCGTGATATAGAGTCGTAATTGCGTGTTATAAAGTCAGAATTGCGAGATATAGTCAGAATTGCGAGATATAAAGTCGCAATTGTAAGATATAAAGTCGCAATTGTGAGATATAAAGTCAGAATTGCGAGATATAAAGTCAGAGTTGCGAGATATAAAGTCAGAATTGCGAGATATAAAGTCAGAATTGTAAGATATAAAGTCGCAATTGTAAGATATAAAGTCAGAATTGCGAGATATAAAGTCAGAATTGCGAGATATAAAGTCAGAGTTGCGAGATATAAAGTCAGAATTGCGAGATATAAAGTCAGAATTGCGAGATATAAAGTCAGAATTGCGAGATATAATCACAATTGCGAGATATAAAGTCACAATTGCGAGATATAGTCGCAATTGCGTGTTATAAAGTCATAATTGTGTGATATGAAGTCGCAATTGCGAGATATAAAGTAAGAATTGCTAGATATAAAGGCGCAATTGTGTGTTATAAAGTCAGAAATGCGAGATATAAAGTCAGAATTGCGAGATATAGTCACAATTGCGAGATGTAAAGTCACAATTGCGAGATATAGTCGCAATTGCGTGTTATAAAGTCATAATTGTGTGATATGAAGTCACAATTGCAAGATATAAAGTCAGAAATGCGAGATATAAAGTCAGAATTGAGATTTAAACTATTCTGAGGGGGAAAAATTAGTCTTTTTTTTTTTTTTTTTTTTTTCTTAGAATTGGCCTGATAACTCGCAATTGCGACTTTATATCTCAAAATCCGGAGAAAAGATGTCCGAATTTCGACATATAAACTCGCAATTATGTGATATAAAGTCAGAATTGCGAGATGTAAAGTCAGAATTGCGAGATATAAAGTCAGAATTGCGAGATGTAAAGTCAGAATTGCGAGATGTAAAGTCAGAATTGCGAGATATAAAGTTAGAATTGTGAGATGTAAAGTCAGAATTGCGAGATATAAAGGCAGAATTGCGAGATATAAAGTCAGAATTGCGAGATGTGATGTCAGAATTGTGAGATATAAAGTCAGAATTGCGAGATATCATGCAATTCTGACTTTAAATCTCGCAAAAGTCGCAATAATTTTTTCTTTTTTTTTTATTCGGTGGCGGAAACAAGTTTCCATACTGTAGAACCTTAACGGCAATTAGTTGTTCTCGTGGTTTAATCCGAAATGTTTTATTCAGAGTTGCCCAGAAGTTCGTTCTCATGACTAAAATAGAAAGACGCTTTAGTTTCATATCATATGAGGCTGTTTGTCTCAGTTATGTTTTTTTTTATTTAATGTGGTTTTGTGCACTAAATATAATTATGATCTTAAAACAAATACAGAGGTCTTTATTGCAAACGAGCAATAAGATATACAGTAATCTAAGGCCATACAAATACTGAAGTGCAGACTACCAATGCATATCACACCATTCAGAAATTGCACAGATATGACTCCTGTAAGAGTAGATTCGGTTTATCCTAAATGAGTATTGTATTCCCTTCTTCTTTGGCATCTCATGAAAGGCATGGAATTATTTCTAAAGAAAATAGACAAACTTTTTATCAATACAGCCTGACATAATTATAAATGTGCGTTCTTTGTTACCACTACACTAGTTTCTGAATGGTTAACCATAAACCGTTTACAGGAAATTGTAAATAAGCGTTAGTGACCTTATTAAAACTGTCTTTCTTGATGCTGTGGTGATAAACATAGGACATCAAATACTACAAATGTTAAACTATCACCAGTTTAATGTATAAATGACAATTTGATTAAACTTGCTTCACAGTCGTATAATCCAAGTCTCAGTTCGTTTTCTTGGGTCATTAGCTTATATACGTTGTGGTGAAAGAGATTCGCATAAATAAGCATACAGATCAATGCCACATTGTCTCTTGTTCACATCACATTAAGTCAGTGATGCTATAATATTTACAGTTAATATTGTCAATAGAAAAATCACAGTTGAATGTGTCTGCCGTTTAGCTGCTGCGTTTTGTCCAGACTTGATGAGTTTAGGGCTTGAAGAGTAGAAATCATCACAAGTTTGTTTTCTCAGTAAAAAGTGTCAGTAACACTTTTTTTAAGTGTTGCCTGAATTTCAGAGATGCAGCGCATCACAAAAGTTTGATTCAATGTTAGTCTCGGTCGATAAATATTCCACTTGAAGAAGTCTGTTTCCTAATCCAAAGATGTTCACACAGTCGTCTGTGAGATCTCTCGTGATAACAAAGTCTCTGAAGTCATTCTCCGCTCCCTGAAATGAACACAAGAGTTTTGGGTCAATTCAAATTCAAGCATGGACTTTATTATCATGATCTTTTCAGTATGGTCTCTCGTTTTACTGGTGCTCTTCTGGTTTAGTTGAGCTAAAACCAGCCTGTGAGTCCAAAAGAGCAGCTTAGAGAAGCTTGCAATGTTTTGTATGTTTGTGGAACATGCATCACACGTGTGTTTGTGGTCTTAAGCGTGTGTGTGGCTTTAGCCTTCGCTAAAACCACCAGAGGAAAGTGATCAAGACTTGCACCAGTTTTTTAATATATTTCTTTATCATAGGCGGCTTCTTTATCATATAGCCTACGTCTTTATCATGGGATTACACTTCCGTTTTAAAGTTTGGGGTCAGCAAGATAAAAGCTGTTCATTTAAACTTCTAATAAATCAAAGAATCCTGAAAAATACGGGGACATACTGGTTGAAAAGAAAATATGGAGATGGGAGGAAAAACATGTGTAAATCCTTTTGCGTTCCTCGCTGAACTTTTGTGTTCTTTGAGTCGCAGTTTCTCAGGGCAACGGTAAAACATTTGCCGAATATTTTTTCCTCTTTTTTTTTCCTTCACCGTATCCTTTTGGTCTCCGTATAAAAAAATGATCATGGTTTTGACATTAATTTTAAGCAGCACAACTGTTTACAACATTGATAATAATAAAAAAAAATGTTTATTGAGCTCGAATTCAGTATATTAGAATGATTGCTGAAGGATCACGTGACACTAATGACTGTCGTATTTACGTTTTTAAAAAGTGCATTTTAAAACACAGTTTTATATAATAATGGTCTAATAATTTACTGCATTTTTATCAATAAATACAGCCTTGGTGACCATAAGTCGCTAATCAAAATCATTAGAAAAACTTTTGAACTGTACAGTTAGTAAACATGAATCTGGACTCGATCACTAGCCTACTTGATATTTTCACTTTGATGTGGAAGCAGATTCATGATAGGCTATATTTATCACAACAAATATATATTCAGAATAAACAGTTTTTGGAATAGCATATTTTATTGTCTTTTAATAGGCTATCTCAGCAATTGATTATCATATTTCCTTTTATGTTATAAATAATATATTCATCTATCACGTATGGCCACACCCCCGAAAACATTTGAAATGGCAGACAAGCCCAGTATGTCCTCTTCAAAACACAATAGGACTCAATACAGTACACTCTCAGAAAAAAAGGACAAAACCTGTCACTGGGGCTGTACCTTTTCCAAAGGTACACTTTTGTACCCAAAGGCTGCATATTGGTACCTTAGTGCCGTGGTACATATTACCACCTAAAATGGACATATTAGCTCATGAAATGGACATATGCACCTAAAATGTACATATTAACACTTAAAATGTACATATTAACACCTAAAATGTACTTATTAGCACCTAAAATGTACTTATTAACACCTAAAATGTACTTATTAACACCTAAAATGTACTTATTAACACCTAAAATGTACATATTTCTTAAAATGTACATATTAGCACATAAAATGGACAAAAGTTTACCTTTTGAAAAGGTACAGCCCCAGTGACAGCAGCTTTTGTACCTTTTTTTATGAGTGTGCTCTCATTAGATATTTTATTTAAATATCTAATGAGAGCATACTGTATTGAGTCATATTGTGTGTTTTTTAACCACAAATAGCGTAACCCCTGTCATAAATCAACTGCTGAATCTCATGAGGAGGGTATGATGATCTTTTAAGTCCCTATATCTCGTTACCGCTTTAACTTTTACTTGTATACCTGTTTACAAGACATTTGTGGATGGATAAATGCATGAGCAGGTGGATTTCATTCTTAGTTCAGGGTTCATCTCACTTTTTTAATGTGTTCTTGAGTTATGTGTTGGACCAGCTGAATAAAAAGTGGTTTGGCTCTTCTGTGACACGATACTGTAAAAGCAAAGCAGGATTCGAGCGTTTATTTTTAAGCTCGTGAAAATCCAATAAACAGAACTAATTCTTCGCCATGTCACAGTCCACCTCAGATCATTTACAATCAAGCAAAAGCTGTTCGTCTTAACCCAAATTAAAATCTTAATCGCCTACAAGTTTGAACATAATGGCTAGCAAGAGTGCGTTACCAAATGCACCCCTATACTGCGATGCGTAACGATGAGACAAATACGCGTGAAGCATTACTGTTCTCCTACCTTTGCTGCCGACGGCGTGTGGGATGGGAGATGTTGACAGTCCACTCCAAAATGCTTTTCAACCGGCCGGATAAACACGGGAACCGGTGATTAAGATGCTCCAGAAGCTCCTCTTTACGCAGTCCGTACACTATCGGCGCGATGCACTGCGCCAGGCTGAAGAAGGCGAAACTTATCACTGCAAAATACTCTTTGGTGGAACTCTCGAGCAACCCTTTGCTTTTAAGGATATGCAGTAGAAACATTATAAAATTGGGGAGGATGAAGACGGCGAGCTGCGTCCCGTGGAGAGCGATAGTCCGACACGCTGCTCGGTTGCGCCGGTTCAACACTCCCAGACGGCGTCCCTCGTACAAGATCCGCACATAACTGTACACGATAAGAATAGTACACAGTGATATTAAAACGATTTTGTGCATTTCGCCGCCTCGCAAAGCTTTCCTTCCGCAGGGCACAGTGTCATTTTTAATGTTGGGGGTCAAGGTGAGGGGAATAATCGACGCGAGTCCCCATGTGAAGAAACCGGCGAGCCACGGCCACGGTGTGAAGCAGACTTTGCCATAGTGGAGCGGGTAGCATATGGCGAAATAACGGTCCAGCGCCATCGCCGTGATGGTGAGGATGATATTGGAACCGCTTGTCATCAGTCCTCTTATTAGCGCCGTGCACACCGTCTCCGTGGTCGCTGCTTTCAGGTAGTTTTGTAAGTAGAAGCTGAAACATACCGCGAAGTACACCAGCGCGGAGAACAGCAGGTGGAACACGAGGACGAAGCGCGCGTGGCTCCGCAGGCGCACCTCGCGCACGATCGTCCAGTTGATGATCAGGTTGAAGAAGGCCAGAATGATCAGAGACACTCCCGCTGCCCAAACGCGTATGTGGGGGTACGAGTTGACCTCATCTGTGGTATTTGACATCATAACCGTTTCCTCAGGCCTCGCTCGTGCAGTACAACCAAAACGTTCCGTAAAGCCAAAACGCTTTCAGCTGGTGCGGATTGTTCATTTGGATCGACAAATGTTCCTCCAAGAGCCGAACGTTTATGTGAATTTGAATTCGGTGCTCCTGTTTCCGTCAATAACACCTGCGTTCCGCGCATAGAAATCAGTCTCTTGATGGAGAGAGTCAACTTCACGTTTACTTCCCTCTCGAGGTGAGCGAAGAGAAAGAGAGGGCGTGTGTCAATAACTTTAGTGCGCAAAGATGCCATGATGCCACTTTATGTGAACACCGCCTCACCGTGTTCGAGTTGCGCGCTTATCTTGTGTGTGTGAAGACATTTGCACGAGGAACGCGGCAGGTGTTTTAGCCTACTAACATATAACGAGAGTCAGAAGAACTGGTGCTGCTGCGTGTATTTCAAAACTGTTTGATGATTGAAAATTCAAACTATTATATAGGCTAGTGTTGTTCTGTAGTTATTATATTAAGCAATTGTACGTTTTTTTGTTTTTCTTTCTCAATAGGGGACACCGGGAAGTGTTGTGGCGTCTTGCAAAATCTGTAGGCTAGTTAAACTTTTAGGCTGCAGTTTAAATGTAACGTGGTAATCAAATTAACTCGTTATTTGTGTGTGTGTGTGTGTGTGTGTGTGTGTGTGTGTGTGGTGTGTGTGTGTGTGTGTGTGTGTGTGTAGGCTATTTAGGAATTGCCTAGTTCACACAAAATTTTTTAATTAAACCATAATGTACTCGTTCTTATAGGCGTAGGTATGACTTTCTTCTTTCTGCCTAACAAAATCAGAGTTAAATAAAAAAAATCCTTGCTCATCCAAGCTTAATTAATAATGGGAGTGAATGGCACCTTCGATTTTAAAGCCCAACGTGGTTTCACCCCATTGCTCAGGTTAAAATTGTGGTTTACAGCCTCCCTGTGTTTAAAAACTCCAATTGATTGAAAGTGTTTTATTATTATTTTATCATTATTATTGTAGGCTATTGCCACCACAGGTGCGCTCATTTTTGAGAGAGGACCTGCAGGGGATTCTCTTTATCAGAGATTAGGAATATAGCGCCATCTAGTGTTCAAAGACTCTCAACATCATTTAATAATAATGATTAACAAAAACATTTATGTTCGGTCATTTTATACTTTTTTTTACGTTATTTACTTTTAGAAATTTCTACTTCGTCAGATATAGGCTACGAAACTTACAGGTTTTGGCACTTGCTGTGTGTGCTGTGTGATTGATTTTCTTTGAACATATGAAGAGTTCAGATGCAAAAGCCTCTAAGTG